GATCGATCGACTTGCTCCCTTTGTTTATCCAGCGGCTTCTTTTCCTTATTTCCTCGTGCTTGCAATAATTTTGTTCACAGGGCATCTATCATGGTCTACGGCCTACGCATAAGCTATGAGCAAAATACCACATATGTCGCCACTCTAAGTTAAACATTTTCTCCCATTTGCCAATATTAAATATCTTTCGACTTTTTTCTCGCTAAATCTTCTCCCAAAGGATCTTCAACATATTCTAGTCTATTGGGAAACGGGTAGTCGATTCAATTATTTATTCACGATTTATTGCTCTCTTTATTTTGTTCAGGACGCGTTGGATCAACTTGCCAAACAGCCGATGTCGAGTTTTGCATAATTAGAAACAAAGTTTGACTAGATAAGAGCATTATTTTGATAATATCAATTTCGCTGAATTCAGTAAAACTTGGGTAATACTTCATTATCTTCAGTTGTTCTCCGCTCGCGTGCGCTAGGGGTCGCACGAGCACGAGCTTATTAGACTCGTGTACATACGTACAAATTAATGAATAAAAAGTGTGCGGCTCGTTAACACCAGCCGGCCCATATTCTCCTTCGGTCATTCCTTCGCATCATCTATTGCGCGCGATCTCCTTTTCATTTATCGAGTTATAAGGCAATAGCAGCGGAGAGCGGGCAAGCGACATACGGCACACACCTCGGCGCAAACGCTTCGATCGACTCGATAATCTCCCCCTCTCGCTGCTTTTCCGCATTTATTACGAAGAAGAAGTAGAAAATTATCGGCGGCCGTGCATAAACGCGCAGGTATAGAGCAGTTCTATAAGAGACGGAGAGAGGGAGGGAGGTGAGGTGCTTTGCGCTCGGCAAAGGGGAGAGTCGTGTACACAGCGCGCGAAAAGGGCCGAAGAGAGTCGGTGACAGACTTCCGGAGGAAGTCGAGACTACGGAGCCGTGACCCCGCGCGTCCCCAGTACGCGCTACAAGCACAACCCCGTGCGTAGCCTTGCATAACGTTAACGAAAAAACAGCGGGGCTTGTGTGCACTTATTAACTTCTTGGGCCGGGCACTCTCTTGTGCGAGGCGCTCACCCGCTCGACGGCGACCGAGCAGCTATCTCAAGACGCTGCATGTTAAGGTGTACGTCGAGTCGGAGTCGAGGTGCTCGAGACGTCGACTTCTTCTTGCACCGGACACTGCAGCACCTACACACTTACACTCTTTACCAATTGTAATTTGCACACGTGCCTCGGATTTACACTTCTGAGCACGGCTGCTTTGGGAATGCCGCAACTGATTTTTTTCCATTTTTTTGATAAATATCTGTATAGTGGCGTTTTTTGATCCTTTAACCTGACTTTTGCGCTACTTGCTTAATTCTAACGTCAACCTGCTCAGACACTTTTGCTAAAGCATTTGCAAGAATTTGACTTGAAAGGTGGAAGTTAGCGAAGCTTGAACATGTCGGTAAAAGCACCTGTATAACTATCCTACCTTCTGCCTACTCACTTCGGCTACTGACCTTTCGAGTACTTTTTTCTATTTTAAAAGGCTTAGTGTAAAGGAAGTACCGATTTGCCTACGGGTAAGAAAATTATTGAAACACAAATTGTAATTGGTCCGAGGACTGCCAGTACGGGCGTGCAAACTTCCTAAAAGTTGAATGAACCTGAGGTGAGGTGAATTTAAATGTGAGCCGAGAATCTATTCATTAGCAAACGGTTATTAAAATTCTGAGAATTGCATTAGATGTATGAAAAAAATAAAATATATGCTTATTCAAAATGAGTTAGTAAGCTTGTTCATGATTTCACAATGCATCGATTACAAATTTTTTTACTAAAACTAGAAATCGATCGAACGAGTTTAGCAAGCTCATAATCGATGCAACAGAACTTGTACTGTAGAATAAAGCTGGGATTTACAAATGGTCCGCGGTCTACCTAAAATAGTGAAAATTCGATAGTAAGATCAAAATAGTATTTATTCTGCTAACATTGAAACGCGTGGCTACATGCTTGTTAGCGTAGAAACGATGACAGCAAAAATATCCAAAAATGACGCTTAACTCTCGGTGTTGTTTAGGCAAGGGGATGTTTGCAATGTAAATCATTCGAGGTTATCTGTGGGCAGAGCATTATTATGGATAAATATTGACTTGGCTTTGGGGGAACAAAATCGAGGCAAAACAAATGTAAGGAAAAGATGTCTCGTGTCTACGTATACCACGACTCGGGCGAGTCACCGCGCGGTGATATCTGGTTACGCGGGCATCGTATCACGTGCTCGAAGCATCTTCGAAAGAATACAATTCAAAAATCAGAGCTTCGAGTCGATACTGACAGCCGTCAGTAATCGCCATGCCCTTCGAGCTGCTCTTCCTTTTTCCTGCGACGACGTTGTATAAATTTACACGTAATATACAACGGATCCGACATCGCGCCGCAAAGAAACGACGCCGCAATGACCCAGTATCGCATATTTATAATATAAAAGCCGCGTGGCATGCATTGGCGTGCAGCAGCACGCCCTCTCGTTGACACAGGACAGGCGGGTGTGCATGTGTAGGCGTTTGTACTTCGGAGGTATCTTTTTCAGGGGGCAACTCCTGCGCTCGTACACGCACGAGTCGAAAGGAAGCCTCTTCGCTGCAAATATGCCTCTTCCGGGCGCGCCCTCGCGGTCGTTGGCGATCGTAGCAGTCGCGTGCGCGTCTCCATACGCCGCAGCCTTATATCTTTCTTCAAGCTTATACAAGTACCACCCCGCGCACTATTTGTTTTTTTTTGTTTTTAAATTTGCTACATGTATTATACGTTCATAAAAATAGAATCGATGTTTCTTTCGTGTATTAAAGTTGCGCAGTAGAAATTTCGGGTTCAAAGACCGCGTTTTGTTTTATTTTCAGACCTGCTGTAGTACAGGCTGCACTGCTCATCTCTAAAAGGTTCTATAAAATCGGAAGTAATACTTCAAAACATAACAACTCACTCGCTCGGAGCTATCGAGGGCCGCGAGGCATTAACCCATAGCAACAAGCTTTTATACTTAAACATTTGAACTTCTATCGATATACATCAATTTTTGAGACCTTTTAATGTCTTTTCTTTGATTCGCTGAGAAATGTACCAAATAAAATCTGAATAGCAGAAATGACAGTTTTTTTTGTTGGGTTAAAAAACTAGACTTCGAATGACACTGAAAATACATGAATACGTGAGGGCCTTGAAGAAAAACAAACATTCACCCATCAGATTTCCGAAATAATTTCTTACTGAGAAAAACAAAAACATTAAGGAGTTATTTAAATAATCAATAATTCACGAGTATCAACCATTTTTCAATGAAATCCAAGAAACTATTATTATTTTTATCGAAATGTTTTGCTTGTTCTAGAGATTAAATATGCAGTTCAGACTGCAATAACAGTATTGTTATTAAACTGCGTATCTATAAGTTAAATCAGGATTTCCTTTTCTTAATTAAAAAAATTTAAGCGTTATTGATTATCTTGAAGTAAAAAGATTCAAATTCATGAAACAAAGTACTCAGTTGGATTTGAAACCGAATCGATATCAATTAAATATAGAAATCTCTCGAACAAATAGAAAAAGCCTGTACATCCATCTTATTTGAACAAATTATCTGGCACGTGCCCCATGGCTAACTGTTAATCTCTCAATCCCCCACCCCCCTCTCTCGCTCCCTTCTCGTTCATTTTTGAATACGTTATGTCTATTTGTATTTTTGAACCTCAACCGTTTCTATACTAGCCGAGGTTTACATTATCTCACTTCCGGGCATAAAATTATGACGATACAGAATTGATTATACTTTGCTGTTACTTTCATTCACAAATTAATATGAATATAAAGGGCGTTGGATGATATAGTTGGATTTAAAATTAATCTAGGATTTTTCTCCTTTTTTTAACGATTTCCAAGCCCAAGTACTCAGAAAAAAAAGATTAATTGTTTCATTATCGCAAAAAGTTACGCATCTGAATACTACTTGTGAAAATGTTTTATTGGAAAATTGCGTATCATTCCTACACATTTCATCTACTCGTATAATTTTACGGCACATTTTTAAAGGATTTTCCTTAGTAATATTAATATATCGCTTATTTTAACATAAATAGCAGATAATATTTTTAGATAAAAAAAGCAATAACAAAAAATTATAACCAAAGATCTTGTGTACATCGGGCTATTCCATTCGAAACCGCAAATATTGTGAGCAACAGCTGTTGACGACTTTATGTGAAATTTTTTACCTATTTAAGATGAGCCCCCTTCGCCGATAAAAATAAAGAAGAAGTGAGGGTGTACGCTTTTATAACTTTAAAGAAGCCGACGAGGCGAATATTTTTAGAGATTCTTCCATTCAACGATCAATTCTTCACTTGCGATCATTGTTGTCCGTAAGATGTTTCGATTTCGATTGAAAAAAAACGGATTTTCCTTTATAACTTTACGGAATATACCCGTACTCATCTATACTTTCTGCTTATAAAGAAAACGTTATTTTTCGCACCTACAACAACGCCATTACAGCTGGCTACTTGATTTTGATTTATACAGTGAAAAAACTCGGCCCTAAATTTAGTTTAAATTTTGGCACCAAAATGCTTTTCAATTAATCGTACGAAATAAAATATTGAATGATTACAATCACTGCATGTTAAACCAAAACTCAAAGTTTTTATTAAGATCACACTTTCCCGGTAATATTGATATAAATCATTAACGAATTTTTTAATTCATTAACTTACCAAAACAAATTGGAATAAAATATATTCTTCACATTTTAAGTACAAATTACACTCATGTATTCTTGATGAATCTTCAATGTACCTAATTCACTTCCAAAAGGGGTAGTTTTCAAACGATCGTAAATAGTCGAAATCTTCATTTTTATCTTTCAAATTAAATAGATCGAAAAACTTCGAATAAATAAAAGTTTTGATAAAAATGAATTGATTAAAGAGAATTTTTATTAATTACTATATTCTTTTTAGATCACCTTGAAGACTCTCAAGATCAGCTTAAGAATAATCATGTGTTTAGGTGAGTGGATATCAAAAAATTTTAAGTAATATTTGTTGCAAGTTATTTAATTTCAGTTATATGTACTAACATGTAGGGATTTAGACAAATCATTCTTTGACAGTTCATCCGTGACAACTCATCCGCGACAATTAATCCTGGGCGACTATTCATCCGCGACAATACATCCTCACTAAAATAAAAGGATGAATTGTCTTCGGGATGATATGTCCTGGATGAATTGTCGGGTTGATTTGTCCAAAGGATGAATAGTCGGTAACCCAACATGTAAAGTAGAAAGTATTACGCTACTCCATCAACCCTCCATTAATTATTTTTAAATGATATTTAATGATTATATTGTTTTTATTGGAAAAAATACCTGTAAAAATTAGCTTACAAATAAGCTATAACTTTTTGAAGCAAATCAAGCACTTTGAAATGCAATATCGTTAAACTTTTTAATATTAAATAAATATAACCAAGATTGAAAGGAGCAAAGCTGAAAAATATCCAAAAATCTAAAACTTATATTAAAATGGTTTTTAAATCCGTGCAGATGCTCATTAACAGGTTAATTGAATAATGAAATTACGAAATTAACGATTATTTCCTTTATACTTCTATAACCATTTACATAAATTTATGTTACATTATTTTTAAAGAGAAATGAAAGCAAGAATTTTTAGTGTCAGGTACCTAGAAATAAAATCAATATTAGTCTATGAAATTGCCATATATTTAGATGATTAAAACATTCACAATGTTAGATAACGGTATAATTTAGAATCTACAAACTTCACATAGTTTTGACTTTTTTAAATTTAATGCTTGAACAATTAATTCAGAAATGATGTTAATAATGTTTATTTTTTTTTCCACATTTTTAATATAGATGGCTTTTTTCATTGTTGAAATAATGTTCACTTTTATAAATTTAAATGTTTGTATTAATTGACGATGTATCAATTCACATTATTCAATATAAGTGAATGACAAACAGAAGAATCCAGATTATATATTTTGCAAATGATTACGAAAGCATAATAAACATAATTATATAAAATGTAAATCATTTGCATAAATAATAAAATAAAAAATGAATCAAGCCATAAAAAATCTGGTATAGATAACCCTTGAATCGTCATCTTCAATTCAAATCGAGTAGATACATTCCAATAGACGGTCTAGAAGTATTTTCACGAAACAGCATCTTGTGCGGTAATAGACTAACCATAATACTTGAGAATATCATTAATCAACGGAAAAAATAATCAAGTAGTCGGTTCATAGATAGACAACGTATAACATATGTTGGCAATTCAAACAGAAATCGTATCATGATTATTGAAACGTCAATAAAATTGAGTGCGGCACGCGCCTCAACAGGATAAAGGAAATCTAAAGGTAGTCCAGTCAGATTTATTGCAATGAATAAATGTATACTTATTTCTTGGTAAAATCAGAACATTGGTTAATTATTCTGAGTCAATAGATATACCATTGATCTGTGGGTTTGAATCTTCAAATAAACTTAGAGAGGATTTAACTAAATCTATAACAATTCAAACCTTATTTAAAATATAAAGGTGCAAATTTTGCATAAAAGTTCAATGATTAATTGTACTTAACTTTTTTGAACATTTTTGAAACTCGTGCTTTCTATCACTGGCTGTCCATTTCATGTATAATATATTATTAGGTATTATTTTTTTTTAGTTTTAATAATGTCCCTTGTAAAAATGTTCAACAATCTATTGATTAAAAATAATTATTAAAATATTTTAAAATGAATTATCGTTTAATTGGTTTGTTTTTGGCCATTCTTTTGGTACTATTATGTTAGAAAAGTTAAGCGAATTTTGAATAACCTGAAAATAAGAAAATTTAATTCTTTCTTTTTCAAACATTTAAATCAGTTTTCAAACACTTTAATACGATAGTAAATTTCGAAGGTTCCACTGCTAGGTGTCGAAGCATGGTTTCATTGGCAAGCATTCAATTTTTATTCAATTAAACGAATTTTTAAAGTAAAAAAATCATTAAAAAACGTGAAACATTGCATGGCCATTAAATATTGAAAAAACGTTACGCTCTTGCTTCGAATATGTCTAGTTCTGATAGCCCTTTTCCTCCCTAAAACGAAAAACTTTTTTGTTGGCAAAACTCTAGAAGTACAATTTTGCACTTTCCTACTAGGAGTATTTTCTAAGATACATTTTTTATGCAGCTATCATGATATGATTGGGCATTGAATAGATTTGAACTATCACTATTATTAATACAATTTATTATTGATAACTATGATAAATTGCTTTTAAATAAATTTGAAAAGTCATTCATTTTCAACTATCAATTAAGGAAATAAAATGAAAGATTGTCGACATTTAAAGTTTAAAAAACCAAAATTCTTGTACAAGTGTGAAACGTTTTTTTTAATGCCTCAAACATAATACATCCTCGAGAAATTTCTTAGAAACAACACATTGTCGAAATTATATGTATCATACAAAGGACCAACAGGAAAAATTGACAACTCGTTGTCCAGATGGTTTTGTTGCTAGTGCCCGCCTACTCCCTGTTAAATATCTACAATTTTTAAGAAGCCTAAAAATAAAGCAATTTCAAGGACTCATAGGACTCTAAACGCAAACGTTTAGCATGTATAAGCGCAGTTATGAAAATCTTGACGACACGCGCTTCTTTTGCTGTTCATAGGGCATTTAAAATTCAGATCCTGATTATAATGGACAAATGTAAAATTGGAGAATAAGAAACGTTGAATGGTCGCGCAAGACACATATTTAAATCGTCGCAGCCGGTCGAGTTTCGGCAGACGGGTAGCTACGACAACTCGTCGATTGAACAGATCGAACGCACATGCTTATATATACGAGCGCCCGAGGTACACACACGGCAGCCCATTGAAAATGCGTCTCAATTTTCTAATGCTCGGCGCGCACTCGTTTGCCGCGTGTGCGAGTATGTATAAGTAGTGCGGGGGAGGATCGGCAGTACAGCAGCAGCGGCTATGTAGCGTGTGTCTATTGTGCAGCGCACTTCACGGCACGCGCCATGTGCATCGAGGCGCGCGCGCAGGTACAAAGGTGCTCTCTTGCTACTGCTCAGAGCGCTGCTCATCCCTTGTAGGTGGTCGCAAAGCACGAGTAATATACACATGCGTGCGCGGACGATCTTTTCCTCGTCGCTCTCTTCCGCGTCGAAGACTTTTTCCTTCTTTTTTTTTCACTGTCGCGCAGATGCCACAGACTGCTCTGTCATTCCGCATTGATTTCTGCCAGAATAACGGCAGCAGCAGCTTTTCTTTTTCTTTTCGATCTGCGAACGTTGACTGTCGCGTGGCCAACAACCCTTTCTCGCGTCGCTTATGCCATGCGGTATGCACGCACTCATTGTATTTGTTACACATTGTAGGAAGCTGCTTCTTGACAGCATGCATATTGCAGGCGTTTTCCTTCCGCGCTAACAAGAGATACCAGATCGAACGGGGGAGCGCATTATTGTAATATATTCGATCGTCTTTAAAGCAAACTCAGGGGGACATGTATATATCCGCGCAAGTCTGCACGAGTAATAAGCATATATTTCTTGCGCACATGCGGATCCTTGAATTTTTCTTTATTTTATTTTCATTCTTATTTTTTCATTTGCTTACCAGATGTCTGATTTTGATGTTTCTGCCTGGCGCGTGACATCCTAGGGATGCTGCAGCCTGCAGCTTTGTTGTATGCGCATACTGGATACGCATCAGGCGCGTCCGGTGTTTTCAAACTCGGAAGTGATTTTTCTCTCCACAATGCTTTCTTCTCTATTGGGTGTCATCGGCTATTGCTTCTTAGCGAATCGGCTAAAACGCATCTTGCATTTCTGAATCATCTCTCTTTTTAAATCGTGCCCAAAGTCGAGCCATTTAAATTCATTGTAGTATACAAAAAAATCAACTTTTGCTGCCCATTTTTTCATTTTTTGTTTGATAGTATGTTATTTTTATTCTTCTCATCTATTTAACAAGGAGGAGCGAATTCTCATAGATGCTTTTCAGTGTTTCTGAAAGAGTGTATTGTTAAGAAAATTTTAATTAAGGCATATTAAAAATTACCTTTTTATCTTTTAATTGACAAATTTAACTTTTGAACTATTTATAGTCTTAAGCCAGAAAAAATATCTATGACATGTTTAAATTCAAGTCATATTTTATAGAAAAAAATTTATTGCTCTACGCTCAGTAGGATGTTTAATAAAATATGAATTCTGATATTTTGTAACAATATTTGACCTAATGATAAGAATTATTCGTGCTAATTTGAACCTACTTTAGTGACTGATTCTTTAGAGATGAATTCGTTTTTATAGTGATAGTAATAAAGTTTACTTACGAACAAGAAATATACTCGAATTTTACTAAGCGCAATCGTCATCAGTGCTCGGTACCAATAGCCTATCAAACGTGGTTAATCATTAGTACAGTTTCTAGTGAAATATCATTATAAAAGCCAAAGAATAAATTGTCATAAATTAAAAAAAAAACTATGAAATAATCAGATATTTCTAATCAAACATAAAAATGAGATTCCAATAAATTCAATTACTTAATTATGTTTTAATTGAGACTCTAGTACTTTTTAAACATAGCTTTATTTTGTTTCATTGTTTTTCAAAACCATTTTAGTAATATATTCAATCAAAATTTTAAAAATCGTGTTTAAAATGTTGTAAATTATCTTGCCTTCAATATCTAATCTGAATAAAATTCAATCAAGTACTAAAGTAGAAATATGAGTATTTTGTATTTCTTTGCTATATTTTATTCTTAACAATCAATTTTTCTAAACTAGATAAATACAAGCCGAAGTCTATTTTTTTTTCAAATTCTTCTTTATTTTTTTGGAAGGAAGTAAATCCAAATGGAACTAGTCGATCTATAAAAATATGATGAATTCATTCACCAAACACCCACTACATCATACTCTAAGCTGCTTATTCATATAATGTACGTATCT